GTATCTCATGTGCCCAATGGCCAAATAAGTAGCCGGTTCTCCTTTGTGTAATTTGAAATAAGAATGATCACATGAACACTATATAAGTTGTGGAACAATGAAGGAAAAACTACGGGGTAGCGCAAATGTTCCAACACAAGTCGTACGCAACAAGGCACATTAAGAATAATCTGAGCCCCCATTTTTTCCCCTTCCCTCCGGGCCTCCGCCCACTCCGACTTACCACTCCGTCCCCCTCCGAGACTTCAACCTCCTTCTCCGAATCCATTCTTTTGCTCACGCAGATTCTCTTTGGCGCCTTCGTTATATTTCGTACTCTACCCTTTACTCATTATTCCGCTGCAGACGAGCAGTTCCAAACCCCAGAAATTCAATCAACGCAGTCAAGCCTTCTTGTGAGTGGAAGCTTGCCATAAAATATTCTCAAAGCTCACAAAGGAGCTCGGATCTATCATTCCAGTTCACCATGCCCCTCCCTTCTCGCCTCTTTCCCATCACAAAAGTTGTATTCGACGCCATCAATCTAGCTGGAACCAAAGGTATCATTGTCGGAGGTGCAGCCGCTCATATGTTCGGGAGTAAGCGTGTCACTACTAGGGTAGGAATCTTGTCACTTGATGCTGCAATGGAAAACTTACTCGTTCCTTAGGATGTCGACATTAATGTCTTATCCTTCCCCGAATTCCCCGAGGATCCCATGATTAAAGCCCGTTTTCCTTTCGACGATGATAATTCAATAATGAAAATCACCTACTTGGATTCAAAGGAGGCCGTCAAGGCCGACGTTGCCACCCGACGAGCACAACATATCCCCTTGCTTTTGAAATATTCCCTGACGGACCCAAAAACAAACTTCACGTACGCCAACTATCAACTCCTCCTTGCCGACAAAATTAGAACTTTGGCTGAGCGTGGAGAAAAGAAAGACAAAAAGCGAGAGACAGATCTTGCCGACATCAAATTCTGCATTGAAGAGATGTTTATGAGAGACGAAAAATGCCTGAGGACCTCAAATTCTTGTACTCTGCGGAGGATTGGGGTAAAGTCCTGAAATATCTGAAAGGTGAGGAGGAGCACGAGGGGTACCTGGTTATGTTGGAGAAAATGAATATCTTCTAGCCTCGCGACGAGCAATAAACGATCCCAAAATCACTTTTTATAAAATTCATTTGCTTTTTATTTAATCGCCGGCTACGTAAGACGTTTGCATCGCTTTCGTCATCGTTCTGGGGCCCTCAAAGGCGCCCACGGTGGAATGCTTTGTTTGTACGTCTGCATCGCTTTTGTCATCGTCGTGCGCCGAACCGCTTCCGCGGTTCGGCGACGAGCAGCCAATAAAGGATCGCAAAATCTTGGCAAAATCACTTTTTTAAATAGAAAACAAAACATTTCATTTTTAGCGGGCTTTGCGCCCGTAGGCACTATAGCCCTCAAGGCCTCACACCGCTAGCTTAACACTTTGACGTCACGTGAAGCCTTGAAGGCCAATTCTGCTAAATCCTAATTAAGATGGCCATCGGGCGGCAGATCTTAGTGTTCTGGCACTACCGAGTGCCCAGCGCCACAAGATGCCTGGCACTTATTAGAAATGGCCCAGCTCTCTCCCCCCGTCTCACATTCCTTAAAAGGAAAGATGACAGGCTGTGGGAAGGCACACTAGCATATAGTGCATGACGAACACAGGAAACAAATGCCGGTTTGGCAGAGTGGTTAATTGTACTGAATTTAGTACCCTGACCAAAGTGTCTTGTGTTCAATTCTGTATGCTCCATTTCTTTTTTAATGTATCAAACAATTACTTATTGGTTAGGTTAGAGGTTATGTCTTGCACGCCCAGATTTAAAAGCTATGCTGAAATCTTCCTTTTACCAACACCTTGGAACGTGTTGCACACCTCCTGCAGCGTTACAAACCCACCACCCCTTTACGCTTATCGGAAATTACATCGAGGGTACATATGTGAAGCAAGTTCTCGCTCAACGGATTGCCTGCGGACTGCGTTTTTCGATTGGGGTCACGGTCTCTGTTCTGGATCGCGAATCCATCGACATGAAATACATGCTCATCCTGCGTGCATGCGGCGGTGAAAGCTATCTCCTACACTTGACCGTCACTCGTTGCTCTCGCTCCTCTCAAGATCGATCGATCTCCCGAATTTGATTCCTCATCATGGACTCCTCCTCCCGCGGAGATCGATTTGCAGGAGCATGCAGCCATTAGGTCCTTTATCGTCCTCATGTCTCCTCTGGTCTTCATTTCCCATCGACTTTGGAGATCCTGAAGCGATCCGAAATGCCTCCGGTTACAAGGAATCACCAGTGCCACCGTTGGTGATGCCTTCTTTAATTAATCTCCCTGAGTTCCCGCCAGCCTTGTTCCAATCACTTCACAGTCATGTTGTTGCTTGCGATTTATGTAAATGTCTTTCTTATCTGGGAGCCTTTGCGAAATCCTATCACCAAATGTTCTATGATTTTGCTTCTGTTACGATTCTGGGGGCGACTTTCATTTGCATATAAGTAATGGTATGTGTCAAACTCTCATCAGGTCGCTACCCTGACTACCGGCCATGAACACATTCCCTGTCAGCAATTTTTACCGTGCTTTTTTACTCCTGTACTCACTTCATACAGGCTGGCACCCGTGTATTCTACTGGTGTTCCACTGGCCCGATTATCTACGCTACGGTGCAATCCTCTAGCCGCTTGCCGGATGTAAGTTTACTTGTTGCCTTAATTTTTTTCGTAATCTGAACAAACCCCTTATCTCAGGGAACACAACTCTTGGTCATCAAAGATGACAATGGCGAGACCGTTACTCTCCCGTATGGTTCCACATTAAATTGAAGATTTCATTTTCTGACATTGATGATAGCGCTGCTGGTGTCACCCTGGTGTCCTGATTTGCAGGCGCCTTTTCTTCTTTTTGCTTAGAGATTTTTTTTGGCAGACTTTATGTGGTTAAACCGTAGTAGGGTTCAACATCTACAATTTTGCAAAGATCCGTCTCCATTTAAATTCACTCATTATCAACAACCTGAGGTCGGTATGTTAAGGCAACGTGCGTAATATCCTTGACTCCTTTGAGTTTAGAAGGAGCAATACTATGCGGATATTCATAGTGCACTCATGTCTGCTCCAAACCAAGACTTATCGCGTAACGACGTTCGGGCGGAAATATCTGCGATGGAGGACTCGGCGGATGCAGCTTTGTTTCGGCGCAAAGACGGAAATCCAGTCACCCCTCCCAACCGCTGTTTTGAATACGCTTCCCGCACCCTTCTCATTCTGCGCGAGCTTATCCGTCCAAAGGAAGCGAACTGCACAGAAGCAAGCCATTGTCTTTATCCGAAAATTGCCCTGCTGCGGCCTCTGTCGTGATCTTTCGAGATTTTAACCGCTCGTTCATGTTCGCTACGCTCTTGTATTTTCCAAGTATTTTCTATACCGCGTCTTTGAGAAAGTTTATGAAAGAATATTTTTTCGTAGTTAACAGACTCCCTATTGCTCATAAGTTAATATGGACGAGAAACTTAATATTTTGAACTGGCACCACATACCATTTCGCTATGGCACCCCCCACCGTCATTTCTTGGTCGTTTCACCTTATTTGCTGCCCTGCAAATATTTTTTTCACCTGGGATTGCCAAATAAACATTTCCATTCCAAGCAGTTGATCACTTTCCGCCGAAAACCTTATTTCTTAAAAAGGAGCGTCATCATGTGATGTCGGCCCAAAGCCCGCACCCAAACGCATATCGCGCGCACTCATAAGTACCCGAGTACATCTTCTGTGAAATAAGTGGTTGCTTTTGCAGTTTTGGCGCCAATATATTTCTAATATAAAGAATATTTACAAGGGAGTGAGTACAGTAACTACCTACGGCAATCCAAAATAGCAAATCTGTAATACCTATGCTACTAGAGCAACATCTTGTAACGGCGGGGAAGTAGTTGGCCACATACCAGTCGCGACTTGGATCCCCTAGATTCCCAGCCCCACCATTTCCCACCTGGAGGGGCGCCATCCCACGCCCTGCCATGTGTATCGCGTCGTGGTCGCTTGTGCTGGAATTCACCCGACCCGTCGTTGGTGTCGGACTTGCGTGAAGGGATGGGGCAGTGTCCAAGTCCTATCATGCGCGTTGGGCGGTCAATTTCTTGTCTTTACTGCTGGCAGCTTTTGTCGTCGACGGCGTGGTTGGGCACTCGGCGTTGGAGTCATCGTTTTCGCACACTCGCTGAATGTGGTTGGCGTAGTCGGGGTTTCTGTTTGTGATACCGACGTTGGGCAGATTTTCGGTTGCAGGATTTGTCGCGTTGGACTTGAGACGGGTTGACGGGCGCGAGATTCTGAGAGGGATGGTATAGGTTTGATATAGGTGTGGTTTGGTTGCTGGTTTGTGAGTGTGGACTTGGGCGTCGTTCCCACAGGTCATGTGAGGTTTGACCATTCGGGAATTAAGGTTTTCGGCGGAATCTCAAAAGTGATTCCAAGCCCTCAGTTGACTGTGAGTTGCAGCTATCGAGGTATCGATAGACCAGTATCCACAACGCTCCGCTTACTGATTTTGTTTAGTTTTGGAGCTGGCCAAACAACTTCCCACAGCCAATGGGCGGGCATTGCCTTCCCGCCCTTTCCCGCTTGTTGCATATATAGTCATACCTCCCTGGTAAGGTTGTTTGCGCATACCCTGAAGCTCCACAAGTAAACAAAACCACTAAGCGGAGCGTTTTGAGATCTGGTCTATCGATACCTCGATAGCTGTGACTGTGAGTTTGAGGATTCCCTCTTACTCCAAATCCACCAACTCAAGCCATGGACGATTTGTTAGGTTGCCTAGCCACGGCACTCCGCAAGACAATCAATCTATCCGTCCATGCGAGTTCGGTGCTGGTGGTCTTATCGCCAAATTCAGAAGGTTAGCCTTCCCTTTATCACTTTTTGTCCGAGTTTTCAAATCACGCCAGTAGGTGTTCTGGCGAACTGGCACTCCATAACGTCACCTTCGCGTACCTTCGCGTCCTACCATCCCCGTCCTCTCCAACCTCTGCATCTTCCCCCCTGCAAACGAAATCACGTTCATTATCGGGTCCTCCGCGTCCGGCCAATCCATCGTCACTCAGCTCCTCTTGAGCATGTACAACCCTTCAAGCGGGACACATCACCATCGACGAGCACGGCGTCCAGTTCCCTCGACGACAAGCTCACAGAGTGGAGTGGCCATCTCGAACGGGAGGGTGTATTCGAGAATGTCGTTGTTGGTGTGCTTGTTCAACGGGTGCCCGTCATGGCGAAGGAAGAGGCGGAGGATGCGCGCCGTGCTGCGCTGATACATTAGTTCGCCCTTGATATGCCAAATGGGTAGGAAACCCTCCTCGGTGGGGGCGCTGGTCACTGGTAGTGTTAGGCGGAAGCAGAGGCTATTGCCAGTGCTCGGTTCTTGGTTCTGATACTTGGTATGTCTTGCTGCTTTCCTTTTCTGCGGACCCTTACTAACTCACTCCCTTCCAGATGAGGCGACTTTCGCGCTGGACGCTACCGCCTAGTCTCGTATTCGAAGCCGTCAAGCAGTGGCATAAGAACAGGACCACCATTGTTACTCACACGACTTATCTCGTGTACGTCATCAAGGCGGGACAAGTACTCGAGTAGGGATACGACACGACTTGAAGGTTGTCGGTGTTTAAGGAGGGCCGTGGGTGACTTTTGGAAAAGGATGGAAGCGCAGCGGGAGACAGGTGGGTCTCTCCCTGAGAAAGATCGGGAGAGTGAGCGCAGGGTGGATGTCATTCAGGATGCGTCGGACGAGGAGAGTGAGAAGGAGTGGGTTGGACGCGTCCCAGACCATCCGAAGCATCAAAATACGGTTTTCCCTCTCGCGTTTGGTACTCGGATGTTCGAAGCCGTAGCGGATCTAGTCGCGTCTTCAATGCCTGTCTCCTTCGTCCAAATATTCAAGCTTCACTCGATTTCCTCCCACCGAGAACTTCACTCGCATTCTTGAACATCAACGGAGGCCTTCCAGTATCGATATTCCTTCACCTACTTCACCCCCAGGTGAGATGCGTTCATGAAGAAGAAACGGGCCATTGAGAGGAACAGTGTTGCTGTTCGTGATGCCAGTTCTCATAACGGCTGGGAAATTGCTCATTCACGTTGGGAAGCGGACAAGTTCGTATCTCTCGCCAGTGTCAAAGTCCCAGATCATCGCTGGCTCGGATGAATACCATCCCTCAATATGGAATGTCATCCACAGCATATATCCCTCTGTCCTTCGCAGATTGAACAACCTTCCGAGCCATGCGAAACTCGATTATCGATGTTACCCTCTCACCACACTCCCTGTTCCGTTGTTTCCTCCTTCTACGGATGACGGCCCATCGTACGCTGGCTTGCGTTGGGCATTGTATCACTGTCCGCGTTCCCGTTGGTCTCTAGGTGTCCGTGGTCCCCCACAGCCGCTGCTTTTTGAGCCGCAGGGTGGTCTTCGAAATGGACAGGAACAGGGACAGGGATACGAACATGGCTGGTACTCACATATGAGGACGAATGGCCTGCCTGAACAAGATGCTTCGATAGGACTGACCGCGTCGACAACCACGGCAAACGCGACATGTCGTCAACTTTGACCTTAACGGACCCATTGACTGGGGAGTGAAAAGGGGTGAAGTCACGACAGGGCTTGTGCATGATATGAAGACATATAAGACCCATGCTTTCCTGCATGATGAGCTGTTGGCCGTTTCGGGGGTTTTTTGGACAAGTGCGTCTTTTTTGCGATGTGTCTTCCTTCCCACCTAACCCAATACAAACAGATTCAGTGGCTGGGGCGTAACGCTCCTCGACTTCCTTGATACGATGTACATAACGGGGCTTCACGACGATTTCGAAGATGCCCTTGGGTTCGTTGGGAATCTTACTTTCTCTATGCTGTCCGTATGTCCTTCCCACTTTCTCTCTTTGCCCCTCCTTCCTTTTTACTTCTCCCCTTTCCTGTCTTCCTTCCCTCTTCGTTACCTCCTTCCTTCCTCTCACTTCTTACAACTCCCTGACCTCAACTCACCCACCCCCGTCCTCAGCCAACCTCCCATGCCTACATTTTCGAAACAGTCATCCGCTACCTCGGCAGTGTCCATTCAGTATACGCACTCTCCTCCTATCTATCTTGTTCTGTAACTATTGGAACCTGTGATAAGTTAGTAGGGATATAAAAGACGTGTGTGAGGTACCTTCTGCCTGACAAATATCGAA